AAAAAAAAAAAAAAAAAAAAAAAAAAAAAAAAAATCCTAATGAAATGTATCTGGTGCATGGCTTCGACGATCAATATATGATGTGGTTGTGGCCTTTCATGGGTGTAACAATTCCGTTTTAAAATAGTTAAGGGGGTAATAGAATATCCCGAAAAGAAAAATTGTGTTATTGAAATTTCGGTCATAGATTGGGGGAGCGGGGGAGAGTGCTTAATGCATCTTCCCTTAAGAAATCATAAAATGAAAATTTAATTTGCTAATATTTTCATAAATATAAATTATTATTTTTCAAATTCGAATTTCGCATAACAATCTAATCCAAATTAAAAGTTTCTTCTAGTTATATTTATATAGTGATGCTGGTGTGACACCTTTTTTTCTTTAGTTGTTTTCCTGTAATGAAAGAATTGAAGCAGCAAACTAAGCTCTCGTTTCATCATAAATTTTGGCTTTATTTTTTCAAAAAAAAAAAAATCAAAAATTTCAAGTTCCCAAAAATCAAATATTATTTTTCAACGGCACTTCAAAAAATCTTTTTTAAAGTTTTAATAAAATCTATGTCCAAGTGCTAGCTAAAAGTATTAAAATAGGAAATCTTACGAGAATGTACTAAATCACTAATTACCAACGACTAGCCATTTTAGTCGTACTACCAAAAATAGCTCAAAAAATTACGAATGATATAAAAGATTCAAGAAGATATATAGGCAAAAGAGATATTCTTTTCAATGAGTATTGTTGTGATTTGGTAAAAACATATAGATGAGGCAATATATAAGATTTGACGAAGTTTGAAGGTGAGTTAGTCTAGCTTGGAGTCAAAATTCATTACCAATGATAAACAATATAAAAAAATTATGCAAAAAAGATTTTTTTTCTCCAATGGGTATGGCTGAAATTCGTTGAAAACATATAGATGAGGAAATATATAAAATTTGAACAAGATTGGAGGCGATTTGGACTTGTTTAATTTGGTATCAAAATTCGTAGTTACAATCGAATTTAAAAAATTCTTCTATGATACATGTATCAAACATGTATCACGCATGCATCGTGCGTACATGTTGTTAGAAAAATAATTTTGATAACTCAAAAAGAAATATTCAAATCAGTGCATAGATTCATTCTTTTAATATTATTTAATGGGTCTTTATTATACCATTTAATAGAATATATTTTAATGTCTTTGAATATAATATTTTTACTAACCTTTAATGGCTATCATTATGGCTATCAAAATCAGTTTGACTTTTGAAGATAATGAATTTGGTGTTTGAAACGGTTTAGCTTAATTGCTTTCATTGTTATGTAACGTTTCTTTATTTAATATATAGATGTCCAACTTTGGATTATATATATATGAATATGTTTGTGTTCATTTTGAGTGTGTGAAGAAAAAAGTAAAAACTTTTCTTCTTATTTTCTTTTAATGTACTGGGTTTTTTTTATTCATTTTTTGTTGTTTCTGCTCCTAGTTATACTAGAAGAGCTTGTTAAATTTGGGGGGATATGTCTAAGTTTATTCATCATAGTGTGGACGAAATATCTTTAAGGACAGTGTCCTTGACACGCTTCAAGCTAAATCTTTTATTCTCCATAATCAATCATATTCTTCCAACAATCTTAAGGATATTTCCACATTTTTTTTATTATGGAGAATCAAATTTGACGTTGTCCAAGTTATTGTTCTAATTCTTAAAATGGAACCCACACTTCAAGTTTGCACAATGGTCTTATGGAGAATACCACTCTTTATGAAAA